TTTGTGCTTACTGCAAATGTTCTTGAGGAGAACTCTCCTGATGATGCCTATTTGGTAGTCTGATTGTGCATCCACACAGGCACATGCACACACACACACACTTCCACCGGCACACACGCATTCACAAGCATGCACACACACAGACACTCAAAAATACAAACGCAGACAAAGGGCCCCGTGGGATTTCACGGCTCCTCAAAGATTTCTAATTCTCCTCATTTGAAAAAGAAACCAAGCTTACAGTCAATACATCATGGTGCCTCCTCTATAGAGGCCCTACTCATGCCTTTGACAAACTCGTCCATTCATTTACACTCACTCTGACCTTAATAAACAACACAATTCCTGGAAACATAAAGTCAGCACCAACTTATTTTTTAATTAGATAGTTATTCATTTATTTATGTATTTATTTATTTTAAACAAACAAACAACCTCTAATGAAATGCATACTTTATTTTTATTTTTTCATTTTTTTGGTACCGGAGATCGAACTCTGGTCCTTGCGCTTTCGAGGCGGGTGGCAGAACCACTGAGCTAAATCCCCGGCCTAGATGTTTATTTTAAGATCATTGTAATCCTAGGTCCATGTGCAGTTGTAATAATAGAAAGCGACTGTGGGGACTCTTTCTCATTTTCCTCCAGTGCTAACATCTTGGATGATAAAATATCATATGTGGGTTTCCCCACTTTTCCTCCTTCACATGTATGTGCAGGTCCAACTTTTTTTTTTAATAAAATGCTTCTCAGATAAGTGAATACCAGTGTAAAATGATTTCTACCTCTGGGGGAAAAAAAAAACAAGAAAAAAGGTGAAGCGACCCATTTGATTCTGAACGCAGTCAGAGTACAGCAAGCCTTGACCCAGAGTGAAGGATTCCACTCAGCAGGTGCAGAGGCAGGAGCGACCGCTGGGCAGCTTCAAGGTGCCGCCTGGGGGTGCTGCTCCATGCAGGGGCTCCGACAGAGGTGGCCTGCAAGCCACATCTCAACCACGGAGCATGAAGATCCCCTCCGTCACCTTAGAAGGCCACAGTGATTGCCCTTCAGCACTGCTGGTAGGCAAATAGCTAGAAGCTACCAGGGACAGGAGAGCCTGTGTGTCCTGCCCTGATCACCCCTGGGGAGCTATGTGGTTTGTGCTGACTCCAAAGCCTCCCTTGATCCAGGGGCAAGAACAGAAAGGCAAGTGACGTGACGCAGAGCTGCCTCCAGGACGATTATTTGGTCAAGCTCTCTTGGCTCAAATCCCACCAGCCCAACGCTGCCCTGTCCCTGGACCATCCTCAGCCCTTCCAACGTGTAGACCTCCAGGGACAAAATCTCACTAGCACTGGGTGGGGACAGGACATACACCAAGCCACCTCCATGTCTCAGAGGCAGGAAACTGCGGCTTAATAACAAATGTGGACCTTCAAAGCTACCCAAGGGGAGAAGTAAGAGTCAAAGGTAGACAATGCGGTTCCCAAGATACAGAATGACCATCACCGAGGTGTTGATCACATGAGGGTCTGGCACTTCTCCGAGGCTCAGATTTGCCATCTACAGAGGGGTTACCAATGTCCCTTTAAAAGCTAGTATTTTAGGCTTTGTAGCCACATGGCCTCTGCCAATGTAACTTAAGAGCAGCCTCCAGTGATGGCCAACCTTTTAGAGCTTACAGTGATAACAAACATCCCACTGGAGTCCATGTGCCATAGGTTCGGCACTACTGGCCTAGATAATGTCTTGCCACATGGGCAAGCCGTGCCTCAGTGAAATCTGACTTAGGAAGCAGGTGGGCAGCTGGATTTTGCTGAAGAGCCATACTGTTCTAATCCTCGATGTGTATGGTTGGTACCTTATCAGTTCCCCCACAAGGCCACAGTGGTGAGGGACAGAGATACTGCATGCGAAATTGTTCAGAAAAGTGCTTGACAGACAACAGGCACTCAAGACACACACACTGGAGGTTGGGTTGCTTTGCATATGGTGTGGAATTCACACACATATCATCCAACTCTGACCCTGGAGTGAGAGACACCATTCACCTGAACAGTGCTGGAAGACCCTCAAAGTAAAGCTTTTGGCAACAGAAATTCAGATCTTTATGAATCACAGATATATACTACTATTTAAAAAAGGGAAACAATAAAATAAATTTTATGAATAAAAAAGAAATTCCAATCTTTATATAGATCCTGTGTTTCCATCTTACAGGGGCTCTTGCCCCAGCAAAGGTTGAAAACAGAAAGTGATTTCATGTGACTTAACAATTCCACATCTAGAGGCATAAAGTCAGCACCAACTTATTAGGAACAAGTTCAGCTACATAGGATACTGTCCTCACTCAGAAAAAATCCAGCCTCAGGCAGCAATTAATCTAAAGACTCTACCCTGGAATTCACTTTATGTCTCCAGATATAAAAAAGAACTTCCTTTGGTTTAAAGGTAAAACACAAATTTTGCAGTCTTGGCAGAAAAAAAATCTACGTTATTCCACATATATTATACTTGGTCTTTTTGAATCAGAAATAGCATTAGTTCAAGTTCACAATTCTATAGATTTGTGTAGGGATCAGCATCTGCCCCTGAGATGGGGCCAAAGAGAAAGAGGTGATACATCGCCTAACACCTCTCCTTGAAGAGGAGCAGTCCAGGTGTGCATAGAAAACCTTCAGATCTGAGGTGGTAGAATTTCCCTGTTCCCTGAAGTATGACTCTTTCTTGGGGACTCCTAACAACCTTTAAACTGCCAGGAGCAGCTCAACTGTGCCCTGGAATTAAACCAAGCATCGTACATTAAGGTGCTAGACTCCCTTTGCCTTCCTTCCTGAGAGACACTCAGTATGGCACATGGTCATCCAGCCTCAGATGAGGGTTCTTCTGTCCCTGGTCCCTAGTGGTGGCATAAGACTGAGCCATTATGATGCTACAGGCTTTGTCAGCAGAGCACTTTCAGACCTGCCAAAGTAGCCAAAAATCATTTCCTTTGCCATAAATCCACACTCTGTTCCAAGCTCACAAATCCAGCAAGTGTGTGTTGAGTGACCACACTGTCCCTGGCATTCTCATAGGTACAGGTACCATGCAGACAAGCAGGCATGATCCTGTGATCCTATCTGCATGGAGCATGCAGTGGAGTAGGGAGACAGATGTGGAAAACTGACCTCTTTGGAGGGCATGGTGCACAATAACACTTAAGCCTTCCACAGTCATCTGTGCCTGGACCCCTCTGACAGAGGAGGACTGCAGAGAGAGGCAAGCACTGGGTAAGGAACACAACAAGGGCCACAGAGGATGCAGGCACAGAGGCACATTTGTTCCTTGCTCTTACTCTTGAACTTGCTTTTGATCTCATGTTGCTACAGTTTGGGAACAGGTAGTAAATCCTTGGGCTGGATCTGAGCCACAATGGAGAGGGGCAGATGGAGGACTCTTTGGTGCACAGTGCAAATCCAGGCTCCCTCCTGCCAGTGCTGCCTGTGGCCCCCACATCATGGCTTTAGCTTTCTCTGAATTCTGTGCCCTGCTCCCTTTTCTGCCCCTGTTGCTGCTCTCCCCTGGGTGAGTCCCCATCCTCTGTTGCCCACAGCAACAAAGGTAAAGGGTAAAGGGTCCCTCCCTCGCCTCTCCCAGCTGTGCACTGGATGTGCCACGACGCCCAATGGGCCCTACTCAGTGAACCAGGCTATGAAGAAGCAGTGCAGCAGGCCAAGAGGGCAGAAGATAAATGGCTCTGTCACACCTGGTGGATGGGCTGTGCTGCTGTCTTACACACTGTGTCCAGGCAGAGGATGTGGCAATTTGCACAAAATGCATGAGATATGATGTTACCACCAAGGGCTCTTGAAGCAAAACCTATCCTGCATGGTTTCATGAGCATTTACTGGCTTCATAAATGCCAAACCACTACATACAGAAGACTGAACAAAGACACAAAAGTGGTGGGGTCTTCTCCTCCTTCTCTCCTCCTCCTTTCTTCTTCCCCCTCCTCCTCTTCTTCCCCTCCTCCTCCTCCTTCTGTCTCTCCCTCTCCCTTCTCCTTCCCCTTCTCCTTCTCCTTCTTCTTCCCATTCTCCAATTTTTTCTAAACTTTCAACTTTGAATGTCTATGGACTTTGTAAAAAGAAAATCTTCACATAAAAATATTCTTTTAAGGAAGGCTCCCCTAAGGCCAACATAACTAAAAATAATAGAAGCCAAGGATGTCTGCAAAGGTCGTCTTATCCAACCTTGTAATTGTACAAAGGCATGGAAGCCAATCCACCCAGCTACCGACCTGGATGCACACAGCCAGGAAGGGGCAAAGTGTCCTAGCAGCCAAGTCTCTGGACTCAGGGAGGCCTCTCTGTACCCACAAGCAGTGCAGTAACTAACAATCCAGGGGCTCTTTCCTTTCATACTGTATCCTCGGGCTCCTAAAACCTTTTACATGTTCCCCCTCTTTCGGAGGTCTCAGACTCCAGTGACTGCTCATTTCCCATTTACCTTGGTAATTTTCATTCACCTGGGAATTTCATGTTCAGCTTTCACTGCTGCTTACTCAAAAGTTCTTTTCCTTTGACTCTAAAGCTTCAATTTCCCAGCAGAGCAGAACACTTCCTTGCCTGACTGGCATTGCTCAAAGTTGAACTTGGACAGGTTGGAGGGATGTGCAGGCTCCCCCTGACACTGGAGTGGGGAGGCTTTCAAACAGGAAGATGAGCAGAGCCCCAGCTGGGGAGCCTCCCAGGGCCAAGGTGGCACTGCTACCCCAGAAGGGCAGCCAGCGCCATGGCGGAAACATTCACAGCCCTGTGGTTGAGAGGGGCTGGGAGAATAAAGAAGACAGGAATAGAAAGAGAGTCAGAGAGATGAGTCAGAGGATGAGGAGGCAAGGCAGAGGGCAAACGACACCTACACAATGACAAATCCCCAGACTTTTCAGGTGGAAAATGTCATACCAATTTGGGGCCCAGACTCCCATTTCCTAAAATAAAAGTCGCCCAGGTGATGTGCAAGATTCATGTAGATGAAATCGCATGGATCATCATGCATTTTAAGGAACCTGGAATTTGCAAGAAGAATGGAAATCCTCCTGTGGGCTCCACCATTCCCAGATGCACGGCCAGCGGCTAGTTCTCTTCTCAGGCTGCCGAGTTTCATTTCTTGCTCTCAAAAATAGAGACACAACCCAAAATGTGAGCATCTCTGCAGCAGTACAGAGAGAGTAGAGCCTGGAATCTCGACTCAGAAAATATGGGCTTCCAGTCCTGGCCACCTCTCTTAGCATGAGAACAAGCAAGAACCTTAACCACCCCCACTTCAGTTTCTCCATCTGTAAAACTGGACTAACAATGGTATTGACCTTCTAGGGATGGAGGGAAGCCCGAATGAGTAATAAACTCCCCACAGTCATGCTTGGCCAGCGGTGAAAGCTACGTAAGTGTTTAATACCATTATTGTTATTATTTTCAATGTCTGTTACAGTGCAAATAGACTGGTATCCCTTACATTTGAGTGGTAGATCACAAGGGTCAAAAAAATTAAGCCCCTGCATTGCCATCTAATTCGTATTCTAATGATTTCTTTGAAACAGGAATCTATTTCTAGAGCTGCATTTATTATAAAAGGAAAAAATGAATGAACCACTTACCTATGGGCAAAAATCACTGACTCATGCCTCCTCCAACCCAGGACCCACGTCCATCTACGGATGTTCACCTCATGGCCAGAGGGAAATATTGTGGCTGCCCAGGACAGCCATCCGGCCAGCCTCTGAAAATAAGAGCTCTTTGTCCTGGACATATACTGCTATTAATACTAATAGCTGTAATAATAACCAAAAGCACATCTTCTAAGTATTTTGAAATCCACATCTGTAATCAGTATTTGTATTCCCTCTCAAGTCTTATTTCTGATATTTCAACATGTTCTGACACTGTCTTGAAATTTTTTCTCCAATGCTCTGCTCAGAACCCGCAGGCTTCCTGGCACCTTCCCTCCAGTGAACATCTACTAGGTCTTGGTGCCTGGACCAGTCTTACGAGCCCATACTTCATCAGGTTGGAATTTCAACTTTCCTGGGCTGTATTCTTCCCCAGACTGGGAGCTTTTCAGGGGAGAGAGGGGAGATTGTATCCTTTCCATCTCTCTCTGTTTCACTGGACCCAACACCACTGAGATGGATGAATGGACAATAGTTAGATGGATAATGAAGTAAAGAATCAATGGGATCCTGGTCTAGTGGCTTTAAGCAGATGTAGATGTTGAGAAGGGGTGACCCACTAAGGGAGTGGGGAGAGGGGAGGTTCCCAGCAAGTGAAGACAGATAGCTCAGCCTCCAGAACTAGTAAGGCCGGGACCCTGATACTGTTGTACCTTAATATGATGCAAGCAGTTCATAAATCTGATATAAGCAGTGCCTTCCACTTAATAGGTGCAGTATGATTTTTTTTAAAAATGCTGATATCCTTAAAGGAGTCAGACATTAATCACATAAAAATAAAAGCTATCCAAAACTATGACAAAGGTATTTGAAAACTGAAGATGTCAGAAAAACAGTTAAAAAAAGATACCTGAAATTCCTAAGAAACTGAGATTCCCTTTAGTCCTGATGGAAACTGACCCTGTGACTCACCTGTGAACTTTGGCTACATGGACACAATGCGCATGTTGACTTTCTGAAGTGTGTATTCCCTGCAGACATAGAGGTCTACTTCATGGAATGAAAACCTAAGGCTATGCAAATCATAACATTTGCACATAACTTCCCATGTATATTTTCCTGCTTCCCAAATTGGCCATTTATAACCTTTAATGCAAATGCTATTTTTTAAATCAATTCTTTTTTTTTTTTTTTTTTTTTTGGCACCAGGGATCGAACTCGGGTCTTTGCGCCTGCATAGCAGGCGGCAAAACCACTGAGCTAAATCCCCAGCCCAAATCAATTCTTTTTTATATTAAAGACTCCAACATATGTCAAGACAATACAGTAATTCCAACCTAAAAGCAGTTAGCAAAAGCTAAGACTTCTGTTCTGCTTCCATCATACTGAGATACAAGACCAGAAAGAAAAAGAGAGGGAGAGGGGAGAGATCAATCCATGGGATTTAATGAATCATTGTGCCATCAAAAAATACATTGTAACATGGGTCAGGCCAAGGCTGCAAGCTTAGATTTGGACTTCTCCAGTAAGGAAGGACATCCATGGTACAGTGCAGTACAGCAGAGTAACTGTGCACTTCTCTGTATACTGTGTTATTCATTCCCTGATCTCTTAGGAAACATTATCAAATGTCAGACTCTGTCTTGGGTGCCTGAGATGAACTGAATGACACAGTTGTCCACCAGTGGGAATAGGGTTTGGCCAGTTACTGAGACACCAAGATTCTAGCTGTGATACCATTGCAGTTGGAAATGCATGACCTAAAAAACCCACTGAGCACATTTCTGGGGTCCTAGTGAACCCATAGAGTACTTACTATATCAGCTTAACATAAAGTACAGATGCAATGCAAGGACCTCAAATTATAGGACCCTAACTACATGGAGCTCCACTTCCCTCCTGCCTTTGGAGGCAGGCAGTCAGGAAGAGGAAGGTAAGGGGCTGAGGATCCTTTATTGTAGAGACTCTGCATGCTTCCATTTCTGAGACACTCGGTCCTGTTTCAGTGGGTTGAGGAATGAGGGGTTACGCAGGAATTTCACAGGCCACTTTACATCTAATTGGCCAGAGCCTTTCACATGGCCACCCACAGCCCCATGGGATTGAGGGACATGTGGTATGTTAGCTAGCTTTCCATTACTATGAAAAGATAACTGGCATAAACAATTCAAAGTTGGAAATGGTTACATCGGCTCACGGTTTCAGAGGTTTCAGCCTATGGTCAGTTCACTCCATTGATTTTAGACCCTTGGTGAGGCAGAAACATCATGGCAGAAGGAAATAGTAGAGTTCCTCACTCATGACAGCCAGAAAGCAGAGAGAAAGAAGCAATGCCAGAGAGAAAGGGGCCAGGGACGAAGGATACCCTTCAAAGCCTCACCCCACAATGACTTGCTTCATCCAATTAGGCCCCACCTCCTAGTAAGCTCATTGAGCTATGAACTTGTTGATGATTGGTCCACTGATGAAGTCAGTTGCCTCATGATCAAATCAATTCCCCCAGAGCCCATAACCTGGCAACCAAGTCTTCAACACAACAAGCCTTTTGTGAGACTTTTCAGCTAACAACCATAAGATGTGCTTTAAGTAAGAAACCTTGTGCTACCAGGATTCTGTAGCCATAGATGATACATTACAGGCTTTCAGAACAATTAGCCCACCTGGCCCTCTCCCACTTTTTATCACTGGATAGCTAAGCTGAGTTTTCCTCATTCCAAACCTTCCTTTACTCATCTTTAAAATAAGAGGACAGAGTTAGGAAATGAGATTTGAACTTTGGTTAGGAAATAAGGATGAAATTAAAAACCTAGTACTGGCCACACACCTGTAATCCTGGCATTCAGCAAAACTGAGGCAGGAGGATCAAAAGTTCATGCCCAGCCTGGGCAATTTAGTGACTTAGGGAAACCCTGCCTTAAAAATTAATTAATTAATTAATTAATTAAGAGGACAGAGAAGAGAGGGCTCATCCCAGCTCTGAGAAAACACTAAGTGAAAGAATGCATTTGGGAATCTGTGAAGTACACGAAATGAGCACAACTGTGCAGTTTGCAAGGAATACAGAGCACTTGTCCATGCCTGGGAATCATAGTCCTTGGTCATCAGAGTCAAAATTTCCCTGATCCTACAGTCTTTGCAGCATTCTGACTTGAAGTTCTCTGGCTCATTCATTTTCGATACTGACTTATCATCGTGGGTGACAGACGGATTTTGTGCCTCTGTGTCTTTCTTGAATTTCAAAACTGTTCCCATCAAAAGTTGGCACTGCCTTTTTCCAGCAAAGCCCAGCGGAACTAGAAAATAACAAAATCAGCAGGTTTCAGAAGAAATGAAAGTCAGATCACTGCCCACCGCACCCCACCCAGCTGCAGGGAGTCATGCCTTATCAATGCATCATTTTCTAATGTTCAGACATGTTGAGTTAAGCCGGAGCCTGCCCAAGGAAAGGATTTACTGATTAGTCCCTGATTTGCTCTGTCTTTGGCAATGGTAATGGCTCCTCCAGTGCTAGGTAAGTAAAAAATAATTTTAAAAACAGTTACAGGTCATTTATTGCAACAGCTTTGACAGAGGTAGGGGACCGATCCTAGGAGAATCATAGCTAAACTTAATGATGACTTCATCTCAAGTTTTTATTTAGAGCCAATGCAAATGTTAAAAAGATGTACAGCCATTAATTATTAGCAGGGCTTTTTTTTTAAACTCAAAGTACGAGTTGAATAAACGTACTTTAAGACACTTAAAGCCGAGGCATTCTTTATAAAATGACTAGCTAAAGAGTCCCTTGGGTTGCCTTGAGCGGCTTTCAAAGCTCTAATAGCACTTTCTCCACCAAAGACACACCCCTTGAATCCTCAGAGAGGTACAATAGCATAATTGTTCTTTTAGGTTTCAAGGCCTTGACATATCTGTCAGGAAAAGAATAGCGAATAATAATACCAGAACTATTTTATGCAAATTCCACTTAGAGGTTTCAAGATTTCCCTGAGACAGATTTTGCCCTCTTGTTGACACTCGCATTGTCACATCAGCTTTACATAAGAAAGTGGTTAGAGTTTGCCTTTTGTTAAATAATTCTCATTTTAAAAAAATCTTTAGATAAAGTTAAAAAACAAATACAAAAACAATGAGATGGAAACATCAATTTGGAGATGTATCAAAGGGAAAAACAGTACTCACTGGAATGATTTTTTGCCCCCTGCAGCTAATCACTTTGCCAAAGGAGTTCTCCTCTAACTCAAACCATGATGGCAGGGAACGGGTGTTTACGAAGATGCAGGCTATGCAAATGTGTGAGCTACATCACCCAGAGCTGCGGCCACATGGGCCTGAGTTCTTAATTCACAGCTCCTCCAGATGAAAGACACTTGCAACATCACATCTTTAAAGCGGACTGATAAACATGGTAATCCAAAAAGCACCCCATTAGTCTCAGAAGTAGATTAGGTAGGAAAAGAAAACACATAGTCACATAGTGTCAGTGCTAAAAGACACTTGTGAGCTCATCCACCCCTATAGCCCTCTAGCAATTCAAAAATCCTCATCAGGCTCTCAAAATATAAATCAAAATTACAATCTACTGTCCCCAAAACAAAGGATAAAAAGATCCATTCCCACAGAGAAGAGTCTAAATTATTACCAACTTGGCTGCCCGTGGAGAGAGATCATCTCAGCCCATCCATCCATCCATCCATCCATGCATGCATGTATTCACTCATTAAATATTTCCTGGTCATCCTCCATGGTGCTAGATCTAAATCTGGTTCTCTAAATT